TGTAACCACTGGAGGGTCAACTTGGTCTTGTGCTTAGGGACATTGTAATGCTGGAAAGTCCTAGATCGTCCCATGAGCAGCTTTCCTGCAGAAGAATGCAAACTGCCTACAGGACCAAAACAACCAAAGACTTCGCATGTGCAAAATCTTTGGTCGTCCATGACATGACCCCGAACTTCGGAGATCTCCCCAGAGTGGCTCGATGATATGAACGTCAGAAGACTGTGATGGTCACTTCAGAACCTTCACATTTTTCTGCTGCAACCACTGGAGGGCCAGCTTTGGCCTTGTTCTTAGGCACATTGTAATGCTGGAAAGTCCTAGATCTTCCCATGAGCAGCTTTCCTCCAGGACCAAAACACCAAAGACATACTTCGCATGTGCAAAGACTTCTCCCCAGAGCGGCTCGATGATGCAAAGCCTTTGGTCACTCCAGAACCTTCACCTTTTTCTCCTGTAACCACCGGCTTTGGCCTTGTGCTTAGGGAAAATGCTGGAAAGACCAAGATTTAAGCTTTCCTTCAGATCTCCCCAGAGCAAAGTCGCTCCTGCATGATATGAAGGCCAGAAGACTGTGATGGTCACTCCAGAACCTTCACCTTTTTCTCCTGTAACCACCGGAGGATCATCTTGGCCTTGTGCTTAGGGACATTGTAATGCTGGAAAGACCTAGATCGTCCCATGAGCAGCTTTCTCCTCCAGGACCACAACAACCAAAGAGCCACATGTGGAAAGCTTAGGTTTCCTTCAGGACCAAAATTGATATGAAGGTCAAAGACTTCACTACAGAACCTTCACCTTTTTCTGCTATAACCACTGTCCAACTTGGCCTTGTGCTTAGGGACATTGTCCTGCATGACCCTTTCCTTCAGAAAAACGACTTGGAGATCTCCCCAGAGCAGCTCAATGATATGATTGTGATGGTTCAGAGGACTGTGATGGTCACTCCAGAACCTTCACCTTTTTCTCCTGTAACCACCGGAGGATCATCTTGGCCTTGTGCTTAGGGACATTGTAATGCTGGAAAGACCTAGATCGTCCCATGAGCAGCTTTCCTCCAGGACCACAACAACCAAAGACTTCACATGTGGAAAGTCTTAGGTTGTCCTGCATGACCCGAACATTGGAGATCTCCCCAGAGAAGCTCGATGATATGAAGGTCAGGAGAACGATGGTCACTACAGAACCTTCACCTTTTTCTGCTATAACCACTGGAGGGCCAACTTGGCCTTGTGCTTAGGGACATTGTCCTGCTGTGAGAGCCCAAGATCGTCCCATGAGCAGCTTTCCTTCAGGACCAAAACACCCAATGACTTTCATGAGCAAAGCCTTTGGTGGGCTTCCATAAACAGCACATTTAAGATCTCCCCAGAGTGGCTCAATGATATGAAGGCCAGAAGACTGTGATGGTCACTCCAGAAACTTCACTTTTTTTCTGCTGTAACCACTGGAGGGTCAACTTGGTCTTGTGCTTAGGGACATTGTCCTGATGGAAAGTCCAAGATCGTCCCATGAGCAGCTTTCCTTCAGGACCAAAATGACCAAAGACTTCGCACGTGCAAAGTCTTTAATTGTCCTGCATGACCCAAACGTTGGAGATCTCCCAGAGCAGCTATATGATTTGACGGTCAGAGGACTGTGATGGTCACTCCAGAACCTTCACCTTTTTCTGCTGTAACCACTGGAGGGCAAACTTGGCCTTGTGCTTAGGCACATTGTAATGCTGGAAAGTCCTAGATCTTCCCATGAGCAGCTTTCCTCCAGGACCAAAATGACCAAAGACTTCGCATGTGCAAAGCCTTTGGTGGTCTTCCATGGACAGCACATTTGAGATCTCCCCAGAGCGGCTTGATGATATGAAGGCCAGAAGACTGTGATGGTCACTCCAGAACCTTCACCTTTTTCTCCTGTAACCACCGGAGGATCATCTTGGCCTTGTGCTTAGGGACATTGTAATGCTGGAAAGACCTAGATCGTTCCATGAGCAGCTTTCCTTCAGGACCAAAATGACCAAAGACTTCACATGTGCAAAGTCTTAGGTTGTCCTGCATGACCCGAACGTTGGAGATCTCCCCAGAGCAGCTATATGATTTTACGGTCAGAGAGGACTGTGATGGTCACTCCAGAACCTTCACCTTTTTCTCCTGTAACCACTGGAGGGTCAACTTGGTCTTGTGCTGAGGGACATTGTAATGCTGGAAAGTCCAAGAAAGTCCCATGAGCAGCTTTCCTGCAGAAGAATGCAAATTGCTTCCAGGACCAAAACAACCAAAGACTTCGCATGTGCAAAGTCTTTGGTCGTTCTGCATGACCCGAACTTCAGAGATCTCCCCAGAGCGGCTCGATGATATGAATGTCAGAAGACTGTGATGGTCACTTCAGAACCTTCACCTTTTTCTGCTGTAACCACTGGAGGGTCATCTTGGCCATCATCTTGGCCATCATTGTCCTGCTGGAAAGTCCAAGAGCGTCCCATGAGCAGCTTTCCTGCAGAACACAAAATGCCAGGACCAAAACGACCAACAACTTTGCATGAGCAAAGTCTTTGGTGGTCTTCCATGAACTGCATATTTGAGATCTCCCCAGAGCGGCTCAAAGATATGAAAGAAGACTGTGATGGTCACTCCACAACCTTCACCCATATCTGATGTAACCACTCCAGGGTCAACTTGGCCTTGTGCTTGGGGTCATTGTCCTGCTGGAGAGTCCAAGAGCGTCCCATGAGCAGCTTTTCTGCAGAACCCAAATTGCCTCCAGGACCAAAACACCCAACGACTTTGCATGAGCAAAGCCTTTGGTGGTATTGCATGAACCGCACATTGGAGATATCCACCAGAACCTTCACCTTTTTCTGCTGCAACCACTGGAGGGTCAACTTGGCCTTGTGCTTAGGGACATTGTCCTGCTGTGAGAGTCCACGATCGTCCCATGAGCAGCTTTCCTGCAGAACACAAAATGCCAGGACCAAAACGACCAAACGACTTTGCATGAGCAAAGCCTTTGGTGGTCTTCCGGGAACCACACATTTGAAATCTCCCCAGAGTGGCTCGATGATATGAAGGCCAGAAGACTGTGATGGTCACTCCAGAAACTTCACTTTTTTCTGCTGTAACCACAGGAGGGCCAACTTGGTCTTGTGCTTAGGGACATTGTCCTACTGGAAAGTCCAAGATTGTCCTTTGCTCACCTTCCACGCAGAACAGATTTCCTCCAGGACCAAAGCAATCAAAGACTTCTAATGTGCAAAGCCTTTGGTCGTCCTGCAAGACCCGAAAATTGGTGACCTCCCCAGAGCTGCTCAATGATATTAAGGTCAGGAGACCGTGATGGCCTCTCCAGAACCTTCACCTTTTTTGCTGCTGGAGGGCCAACTTGGCCCTCTGCTTAGGGTCATTGTAATGCTGGAAAGTCCAAGAGTGTCCCATACGTAGCTTTCCTGCAGAAGGACGCAAATTGTCTGCCAGTCTTTGGTGGTCTTGCATGGACCAGACTATAGAGGTCTCCCCAGAGCTTCTCGGTGATATTTAGGTCAGGAGACTGTGATGGTCACTCCAGAAACCTTCACCTTTTTCTGCTTGAGGGCCAGCTTGGCCTTGTGCTTGTGGTCATTGCCGTGCTGGAAAGTCGAAGACCGTCCCATGCGCAGAAGAACGTGAATTGTCTGCCAGTCTTTGGTGGCCTTGCATGAACCAGACTATAGAGGTCTCCCCAGAGCTTCTCGGTGATATTTAGGTCAGGAGACTGTGATGGTCACTCCAGAACCTTCCAGAACCTTCACTGGAAAGTCCAAGAGTGTCCCATTTTTCTGCTTGAGGGCCAGCTTGACCTTGTGCTTCGGGTCATTGCTGGAAAGTCCAAGAGCGTCCCTTGATGCTCACCTTTCACTCAAGAGCGAACCTTTCAAGAAGAACACTATTACCTCCAGGACCAAAACAACCAAAGACTTCGCATGTGCAAAGTCTTTGGTCATCCTGCATGACCCGAATGTTGGTGACCTCCCCAGAGCGGCTTGATGATATTAAGGTCAGGAGACTGTGATGGTCACTCCAGAACCTTCACCTTTTTCTGCTTGAGGGCCAGCTTGTCTTTCTGCTTAAGGTCCTTGCCGTGCTGGAAAGTCCAAGAGCGTCCCACGCGTAGCTTTGCTGCAGAAGAACGCAAATTGTCTGCCAGTCTTTGGTGGCCTTTCATGAACCAGACTATAGAGGTCTCCCCAGAGCGGCTCGGTGATATGAAGGTCAGGAGACAGTGATGGCCTCTCCAGATCCTTCACCTTTTTCTGCTTGAAGGCCAGCTTGACCTTGTGCTTCGGGTCATTGTCCTGTTGGAAGGTCCAAGAGCGTCCCATGCACAGAAGAACGCAAATTGTCTGCCAGGATTCTCTGATAACAATCTGCATTCATCTTGCCATTCATTTTCACAAGATTGCTTTAGAGCTCACCCCCCCCCCCCCAAAAGCATCAGTGAGCCACCACCATGCTTCACAGTGAGGGTGGTATTCTTGTCCCTAAAGGCCTTGTTGACCCCTCTCCAACCTATGGCTGTGACCATAAAGTTCTATTTTGGTCCCATCGCTCCAAATTGCAGAGTGTTGGAAGCTGTGAGGCGTGTCAAGGTGTGGTCGGCCATATTGTACCCGGGGCTTCTTTGTGGCATCGGCGCAGTAAAGGCTTCTTCTGGCAACTCCATCACGCAGCTCATTTTTGTTCGTCGTATTGCGTTCCTCGAAACAACCTCCAGAGCAGCCTGGATTCCTCCTGAGGTCATCTGTGGGGGGGGTGTTCTTTTTTCTTTGTATCCCCAACAATTCTTCTGGCCGTCGTGGTGGCCATCTTTCTTGGTCTACCTGACCTTGGCTTGGTGTCAGGAGATCCCCGAATTTCCCCCCCGAAATATTTCACATTGAAGTCTCCTGAACTACGAGTCCTGAGTGCCGCCGGCGCTCACCGATCGTTGTTGGTCTTGTCTTCCAGATCCCCGCGTCCTTCGAGGAGGTGTCGGTCCATCTCACCGAGGAGGAGTGGAGTCTTCTACAGGACTGGCAGAAGGTCCTCTACAAGGAGGTGATGCAGGAGAACCTGGACTCTGCGCTGCTGTTGGGTAAGCAGGAACTCCTCCCGCCACGTGGGCCGCGCCGGTCTCCTTCATGGAGGATGGGAGAGGCGGGGGTAGGAATAGAGATCCACACACCGGACATCTTCCTATCCTTTCAGATAATCTCCTTTCCCCGTTACGTTGGGAGGATTCGAAATTTGATTGTTGGGAGAAAGATATATGTGGGCTTTTTTTCCTATTCTATTCTTTACTATTCTATTCTCTTATTTATTCTATTATTTTCTATTCTATTCTATAAAACAGCCTAAGTAGGAATCCTCTTATTTCACTTTTATTTCTTTCTGTATTTATTGCAACGTGTTTCCATTTCAAATTCTAATTCAGATAAACATTCTGTTTTATGTTATTCTATTTGTTTCTATTCCTTTCTTTTCTATTCTGTTCTATTCTATTCCTTTCTTTTTCTGTTCTATTCTATTCCTTTCTTTTTCTTTCTGTTCTATCCTATTTTTTATTTTTTCTTCTATTCTATTCCTTTCTTTTTTTGTTCTGTTATATCCTATTCTTTTATTTTAGTCTGTTCTATTCCTCTTTTCTACTCTGTTCTATTCTATTCCTTTCATTTCTATTCTGTTCTATTCTATTTCTTTCTTTCTTTCTATTCTGTTCTATCCTGTAATTTTATTTTCTATTCTGTTCTATTCCTTTCTTTTCTATTCTGTTCTATCCAATTCTATTCCTTTCTTTTCTATTCTGTTCTTCTATTCCTTTATATTCTGTTTCTTTATTTTATATTCTATTCTATTAAGCAGCCTAAGTAGGAGTCATCGTCCTATTTCACTTTTTTTTTTACTGTATGTATTGCAATATAATTCCATTTCAAATTCATTTTCAAAGTCTAATATGGATAAACATTCTGTTTTATTCTATTCCTTTCTTTTTTGTTCTGTTTTATTCTAATCTAGCCTATCCTGTTTTTTTTATTTTCCCTTTTATTTTATCATATCCTTTTATTTTCTATTCTAGTCTGTTTTACCCTATTATTTTCAATTCCTTTCTTTTCTATTCCATTCTACTCTATTCTAATATATCCTGTTATTTTGTTTTTTTCTATTTCCTATTCTATTTTCTTTTTTTTTTTGTTCTATTTTTTTTCTGTTCTGTTCTGTTCTATTTTTTTTTTATCCCGTTCTTTTTTTTTTTTTTTTCTATTTTTCATTCTATTTCTTTATTTTATATTCTATTCTATAAAGCAGCCTAAGTTCAAATTCTAATATGGATAGACATTCTCTTTTATTCTATTCCTTTCTTTTTTGTTTTATTCTAATCTAGCCTATCCTGTTCTTTTATTTTCCATTCTATTCTATCATATCCTTTTATTTTTTTTTATTCTATTCTAGTCTGTTTTATCCTATTATTTTTCTATTCTGCTTCTGTTTCTATTCTATTTTAATCTATCCTGTTATTTTGTTTTCTGTGCTATCCTATTCTTTTCTACTCTTTTATTCTATTCTCTATCTGTTCTATTTTATTCCTTTTTTTTCTATCCTGTTCTATTCTTTTTTTCTATTCTTTTATTTTCTATTTTCTATTTATTTTTTTTTTTATTTCTTTTCTTCTTTTTTTTTAAGTATGAGTATCAATCATCTTATTTCACTTTTTTCCTTACTGTATGTATTGCAATATATTTCCGTTTCAAATTCTAATACGGGTAAGCATTCTGTTTTATGTTATTCTTTTCTATTCTATTCCTTTCTTTTCTATTCTGCTTTTGTTTGTATTCTATTCTAATCTATCCTATTATTTTGTTTTCTATTCTATCCTATTCTGTCTGTTTTATTCATTTCTTATTCTATTCTATAAAACAGCCTAAGTAGGAATCATCCTCTTATTGCACTTTTATATCTCACTGTATTTGTTGCAACGTGTTTCCATTTCAAATTAATTTTTAAATTCTAATTCCGGTACACATTTTGTTTTTTTTTTTTATTTGTTTATTTTCTATTGTATTCTATTCTCTTCTTTCTATTCTACACGGCTCCAAAAAAATGAAAGGAAGACTCTGACAACCCATCAGATCCCAATGGGGAGGAATCTTCTGCTGGATCTCTATACTGACATGGACGGAATCCAGGACCCACTGCACCAGGAGGAACCCAGGACCCCCTCCACCAGGAGGAACCCAGGACCCCCCAACTTAGGAGGAACCCAGGACCCCCCGACTTAGGAGGAACCCAGGACCCCCCGCACCAGGAGGAACCCAGGACCCACCGCACCAGGAGGAAGCCAGGACCCCCCAACTTAGGAGGAACCCAGGACCCCCCGACTTAGGAGGAACCCAGGACCCCCCGCACCAGGAGAAACCCAGGACCCCCCGCACCAGGAGGAACCCAGGACCCATTGCACCAGGAGGAACCCAGGACCCACCGTACCAGGAGGAAACCAGGACCCACCACACCAGGAGGAACCCAGGACCCACCACACCAGGAGGAACCCAGGACCCACCGCACCAGGAGGAACACAGGACCCCCCCTCACTAGGAGGAAACAAGGACCCACCACACCAGGAGGAACACAGGACCCCCCGCACTAGGAGGAACCCAGGGCCCCCCGCACTAGGAGGAACCCAGGACCCCCCGCACTAGGAGGAACCAGGACCCACTGCACCAGGAGGAACCCAGGACCCACTGCACCAGGAGGAACCCAGGACCCCCCGCACCAGGAGGAAACCAGGACCCACCGCACCAGGAGGAACACAGGACCCACCACACCAGGAGGAACCCAGGACCCCCCGCACCAGGAGGAACCCAGGACCCCCTGCGCCAGCGTAGGGTCTGACAACGGGTCCAAGGATTTCATCCCCATACCTAATGGCAGTCAGGGGGCCATTGTCTAGCCTGTAGAGGTCTGTGTGTCCCTCCATGGAGATGCCTCCCCAGACCATCACTGACCCACCACCAAGACGGTCATGCTGAACCATGTTACAGGCAGCAGAACGTTCTCCACGGCTTTTCCAGACCCTTTCACGTCTGTCACATGTGCTCAGGGGGAACCTGCTCTCCTCTGTGAAAAGCACAGGGTGCCAGTGGTGGACCTGCCAATTCTGGGGTTCAATGGCAAATGCCAATCCAGCTCTATGGTGCCGGGCAGTGAGCACAGGGCCACTAGGGGATGTTGGGCCCTCAGGCCACCCTCATGAAGTCTGTTTCTGATTTTTTGGTCAGAGACATTCACACCAGTGGCCTGCTGGAGGTCATTTTGTAGGGCTCTGGCGGGGCTCCTCCTGTTCCTCCTTGTACAAAGGAGCAGATACCGGTCCTGCTGATGGGTTAAGGACCTTCTACGGCCCTGTCCAGCCCTCCTAGAGGAACTGCCTGTCTCCTGGAATCTCCTCCATGCTCTTGTCTCCTGGAATCTCCTCCGTGCTCTCGTCTCCCGGAATCTCCTCCGTGCTCTCGTCTCCCGGAATCTCCTCCGTCTCTCGTCTCCTGGATTCTCCTGGAATCTCCTCCATGCTCTCGTCTCCTGGAATCTCCTCCATGCTCTTGTCTCCTGGAATCTCCTCTGTGCTCTCGTCTCCCGGAATCTCTTCCGTGCTCCCATCTCCTGGAATCTCCTCCGTGCTCTTGTCTCCTGGAATCGCCTCCGTGCTCTTGTCTCCCAGAAAATCTCCTCCTGGAATCTCCTCCATGAATCTCCTCCGTGCTCTCGTCTCCTGGAATCTCCTCCATGCTCTCATCTCCTGGAACCTCCTCCGTGCTCTCGTCTCCTGGAATCTCCTCCATGCTCTTGTCTCCTGGAATCTCCTCCGTGTGCTCTCGTCTCCCGGAATCTCCTCCGTGTTCCCATCTCCTGGAATCTCCTCCGTGTTCCCATCTCCTGGAATCTCCTCCATGCTTTTGTATCCTGGAATCTCCTCCGTGCTCTCGTCTCCTGGAATCTCCTCCGTGTTCTCGTCTCCTGGAATCTCCTCCGTGCTCTTGAGACTGTGCTGGGAGACACAGCACACCTTCTGGCAATGTCAGGTATTGACGTGCCATCCTGGAGGAGTTGGACTGCCTGTACAACCTCTGTAGGGTCCAGGTATGGCCTCATGTTACCAGAAGTGACACTGACCCGAGCCAAATGCATAACTGGTGAAAAACAGTCAGAAAAGATGAGGAGGGAAAAAAATGTCAGTGGCCTCCACCTGTAACCATTCCTGTTTTGGGGGTCGTCTCATTGTTGCCCATCTAGTGCACCTGTTGGTAATTTCATGAACACCAAAGCAGCTGAAACTGATGAACAACCCCCTCTGCGACTTACCTGACCAGATCCTCTGCGACTTACCTGACCAGATCCTCTGCGACTTACCTGACCAGATCCATATCCCGGGAGAGAGAATCGACTTCATGCTGGACTCGGATTACAAAGTGTAACTTTCATTTTTTTGAGCCGTGTATTCTTTTCTATTCTATTCCATTTTATTCCTTTATTTTCTATTCTACTCTGTTTTTACTCTTTTTGACTCTATTCTATTCAGTCCTATCCTAATATTTTATTTTATTTTATTCTGTTATATCTTATTCTATTTCTTTACGGTCTATTCCATTCTATTCTGTTTTATTCTATTCTATTTCTTTATGTTCTATTCCATTGTATTCTGTTTTATTCTATTCTATCCCATAAAGCAGCCTAACTAGGAATCGTGATCTTATTTCCCTTTTATACCTTATTGTATTGACTGCATTGTGTTTCCATTTCAAGTTCACTTTCTAATTCGTCTGATTCGTTTCGTTGTAATTTATTTTGGATCTGTTGAATTTCGTGATTCGGAAATTCTGTCACCTCCGACTAACAAACATTTTGCTCGAATTTGGATGTGTAACGAAACAAATCGCACCCGTCTAGTTAGGAACCCATAAAATTTTAGAAACGTTTTCTTTTTTAAAACGGTTTCAATTTTGATTTGTGTTTTTCAGAAGACCTCTGGGAGCCCCATATGAAATCCGAAGATATCTCCGAGGATGCAGAAGGTTCAGCATGGAAGGTGGAAGAACAGACTCAGCGGGACACGGTCCATTCGAAGAAATGGGGCGATATGTACAAGAACTTCCACGGTGTGCTGGACAAAGTACCCCATCGATGCTCTGATTGCCGAGAGGTCCTAGGAAGCTGGTCTCTTCTCGTTGACCACAAACGAAGCCACCTGAGATGCAAACCCAATGCAAACCATCAGCCATTCATTCCGACAATCCAACAAACCAAACAGGACCAGGCGAGGCTCTATAGTCTCCGTGTACGCAGAAAGTGGTCCTCCTCAGATCTACATCCGATTTCAAGATGGGGTCTGTCTACCAACGAAGATCCGCCAATGTACCCAGAAAGAGTGGACTCAATAGCAGGTAGCAAAGCCCTCATCGTGAAATATAAGGAATCGAAAAATTACGTCGGCGCAAAGACTTTTGGCCAGTTGGGAAACGTGGTGGAGAACGGAAAGCAGCTGTTGAAATGTTTCAGCTGTCCAAAAATATTCACCGACGTCAACCTGTTCATCGAGCACAAAAAGTCACACAAAGAAAACAAGAGCTTCGCCTGCCCCGACTGCGGGAAAGGTTTCGTCAGGAAGTCCGTCCTGAAGCTTCACCGAAGGACTCACACTGGAGAACGTCCTTTCGCATGCTCCGAGTGCGGCAAACGCTTCAGCCAGAGGTTCAACCTTGTGATTCACCAGCGGATTCACTCCGGGGAAAAACCTTACAAGTGTCCCTCCTGCGATAGAAGTTTCCGGTACAAGCCAGCTCTTATGAGGCACGAGGACAAATGTGTGAAGGCCAATCACAGAACACGTCCTGGAGGAAAGTCCAAAAACTCACAACGGTCTCCTCCAACTGTTGTTCAGCCAGAAGTTAAGACCTTGCCCAGTAGGCCACCGTCATTTTCCACCTCAAATGCGAAACCCTATCCTGTATCCCAGGCCAGCGGTGGTCAAGGTATGGACACTTGCACCTTGCAACGCTCGTCGCCTAAACCACCAATCTCTTCACCAACCCCTGTCTGTTCTCAGTTGGTTCCTCGAGTCAAATCATCATCCAGACTTCTCACCGGTCTTAAATCAGGAAGCAAGCAATCCTCGTTATCAAACAATTCCATCTGTGTGCAATCTGGTACTAAGCCTCGGTTTTTGGCATCGTCAAGCGGTCAAGCTCCATCTTCATCCACTTTCTTCCATCAATCATAAATCGGGAGGCAAGCAATCCTCGTTATCAAACAATTCCATCTGTGAGCAATCTGGTACTAAGTCTTTGGCATCTTCTCCACCAAGCGGTCAAGGTCCATCTTCATCCACTACTTCCATCAGTCATAAATCGGGAGGCAAACCTTTGGCATGTGCCCCAACTTATAGACATTATCCATCCGCTAATAAACGCCAAGAAATAGGTCCTTCTCCGAAAGCAGTGGTCATTCGTCAGTCCGGCTCAACAACATCTTCTGCTACTTATCCTTTACTAAAGGTGGGGACTCAACCCAACTTGTCCTCAGAGTCTAGTCCTCCTCCAGGAGGAAAACCTCGTTTGATTTCATCTTCTACAAATAATCACCAGTCGAGTTTGAAACTTCCTCCAGTCTTGTTTCCTGCCATGCATCCAGCAGAAAGCGGCAAATGTTCCTCCGTCCCGTCGCCTTCGTTCAGCCAAGGCTTTAAATCTCCCACAGCTTTTCATTGCTACCTAAATATCACCCGTTGTATTCAAAGTATCATTCGATGTCGTCATCTTTCCATTGCATCGTCAGAGGATCAAAGCCTGTTTCTTCTACGTCTTGTCCATTGAGTAATAACAGTGTGTTACCCTCGTGCAAACCTCTTCGATCTGCTTCCTCTAGTCCTTCAACCTCAGACTATAAAACTTCCTTTGTAAAAAACCCTTCATCGTCATCCTCCTCCTCCTCAGTCTACCATGCATCCCTTGCTAAACGTTCCTCCTCTGAGTGTCATAGATCTCACGTGAAATGTTCAACATCGTTTAGCTCACCAAAGTATTCATATCATGCCAACTCTCCCTCTTCGTCATCTGTGACCACATGTCCTCCGTCAGTGCAGTCCATCCTTCATCATTCATCAAGTACTAAGCTCCACTCTCCACTGACCTCCTCAAAATTGCCTTCACCTCATTCCTCACCGGTAGGTAATAAACCTTCATATAAGCCACCATTGGTCTTGCCTTCCCCCAGCTGTAGTTCATCTGGTAACAAGTCACCCTCACGGTCATCACCCTTTATCTGTGATAAATCATTCCCCCATTTTCCGGTCTCCATGCCCAAAAATTCTTCCTCAGCTCCAACACTTCAACGATCAGCGATGGCCAGGAAGTCGATGGTGAACTCGGCAAAAGAAGCAAAACGGACAGAAATGAAGGAAGTTGGTGAGACAATGCAACCCGTTGAGAATCTCTTCAAATGCAGCTCTTTTTACAGACTTAGGCCAGTTTACGGAGCACCAGGAGACCCACTTGGGACCTAAGAACACGTGCCCAGAATGTAATAAGAGTTTCCATAGGAGGTCCACGCTCCTCCTCCACAAAAGAACTCACACGGGCGAAAAACCGTACACTTGTACCGAATGCGGCAAGAGTTTTAGCCAGCGTTTTAACCTGGTGGTTCACCAACGTATTCACACGGGGGAGCGACCTTATATCTGCAGTGAGTGCAACAAAGCTTTCCGCTACAGAACAGGCCTCCTCCGTCATCAGAGGCATGCTCTTTGCACGAGGAAACGATCTGCTGAGAATTTTCCCGTCGTTCCACCACCAGTGGTGCCACCAGCCTCTGGAGTAAAGAAATCGATCAGCTTGATAGATACTTGTCAAAGCTTATCAATGTCTAGTGTATTATTCTGTTCTGAATCGCCCGAGGATGAAACTAGGAAATCGCCACCTTCAGAAAATACCCAAGATAACATTCCTTTGCCACCAACCTCTACATCAACACCACAGACCTTGACTTGTGAGATCATCTCAACAAAGACTCCAATGCCCCCCCTTAAAGCTCTTATGAAAACCAAATTTCTGCTGAATAAACAAGAAAATGAGGTTTCTCAAGTGCCCTCTCCCTTTCCTCCTCCTTCTACCTCTCATACTCCATGTTCCTTTCACCCTCTGAACGTTGTGCTTATCAGATCCACCACCTCAGGCACCACCAGTCCATGATATTGACCAAAACGCCAACAGACCAAAAACCAACGACAGTGATGCAAACAGCTCAGGTTGTAACGAGGACCCACAACTGGATGTGGAAAAGATGCAGTTGAAGTGCGAACACTGTAAGAGAAGCTTCGATAAGGCGGAAAAATTTCTGGAGCACCAGATCACGCACAACACGGCGCGGCACGTGTGCGTGGAGTGCGGAAAGGCCTTCAGCAAGACGTCACAGCTGGTCCTCCACCGGCGTACTCACACGGGCGAGAAGCCTTATTGTTGCCCCAAGTGCGGCAAACAGTTCAGTCAGAAGTTTAACCTCGTCGTTCACCAGAGGATTCACACCGGTGAAAAACCTTACAAATGTTCCGACTGCAGCAGAGAGTTCCGCTACCGCACCAGCCTGATCAAACACCAGAAATACGGCCTGTGCTCTTGACCGCCAACTCCCACACTACAAATGCCATTATAAAGACTCGCAGGAGGAGGGGGGGAATCCTCTGGCTCAGACCTCCGGAGATCCTCCTCCAGGCACTCAGGGATAAACGTCAAACTCAATGCTAATTATTGTACTGTAAATGGTGAGGGCGGCTCCACACAACATTGATAGTTCATCGGGGCTGATTCACCTGCTGCCTCCTATTAAATTTTAGGTCCTCCAGTAGTGAGATGTTCCATCTGGTGTTCTGGTGCCCAATGATGCTTCATGGCACACTGCTGTCCCTATTTATAGAGTAAAATATCTGGAACATGGGAGATTCCTCGAAGAGTTGGAGCAGTTGGGCGGAGCTGGGAATCCAGGTGCAGAGATCTCACTATTGGAGTCCTAGGGTGATGGGAATAGCTGGTAATCAATCCATCCTTCGGGAGTGAAATGTCAGTGTTGGAGGTCGTGGCCTCCCAAAAGGGTGATTCACCTGCTGCTTCCCTTCAAATTTTAGGTCCTCCAGTAGTGAGGTTTTCCATCCGGTGTTCTGGTGCCTCATGGCACACCGCTGTCCCTATTTATAGAGTAAAATATATGGAACGTGGGAGATTCCTCGAAGAGTTGGAGCAGTTGGGTGGTGCCCAATGTTGCCTCATGGCACTCTTCTGTCCCCTATTTATAGAGTAAAATATATGGAACGTGGGAGATTCCTCGAAGAGTTGGAGCAGTTGGGCGGAGCTTGGAATCCAGGTGCAGAGATCTTCACTATTGGAGTCCTGGGGTGATGGGAAAACCTGGTAGGCAATCCAGCCCCTCGGGAGTGAAATGTCAGTGTTGGAGGTTGTGGTCTCCTAAAGGGTGATTCACCTGCTTCTCCCATTAAATTTTAGGTCCTCCAGTAGTGAGATTTTCCATTCGGTGTTTGGTGCCTCATGGCACACTGCTGTCCCTATTTATAGAGTAAAATATATATGGAACATTCTTCGAAGAGTTGGAGCAGTTGTGCGGAGCTGGGAATCCAGATGCAGAGATCTCCTATTGGAGTCCTGGGGTATAGATGTAAAATATCTGGAGGCAATCCAGTGGGAGTGAAATGTCGAAGAGTGTTTGGAGGTTGAATCCAGGTGCGAGGTGATTCACCTGCTGCGTTCCCATTACATTTTAGGTCCTCCAGTAGTGAGATGTTCCATCTGGTGTTCTGGTGCCCAATGGGAATACACTGCTGTAATTTATAGATCCATCCTTCGGGAGATTCCTCGAAGAGTTCAGTGGAGCAGTTGGCCTCCTAAAGGGAATCCAGGTGCAGAGATCTCACTATTGGAGTCCTCCAGGGTGATGGGAATTTTCAATCAATCCATCCTTCGGCAGTGAAATGTCAGTGTTGGAGGTAGTGGCCTCCTATAAGGGTGATTCACCTGCTGCTTCCCTTCAAATTTTAGGTCCTCCCTAGTGAGGTTTTCCATCTGTGTTCTGGTGCCCAATGGTGCCTCATGGCACACTGCTGTCCCTATTTATAGAGTAAAATATATGGAACATGGGAGATTCCTCGAAGAGTTGGAGCAGTTGGGCGGAGCTGGGAATCCAGGTGCAGAGATCTCACTATTGGAGTCCTGGGGTGATGGGAATAGCTGGTAGGCAATCCAGCCCTCGGGAGTGAAATGTCAGTGTTGGAGGTTGTGGTCTCCTAAAGGGTGATTCACCTGCTTCTTCCCATTAAATTTTAGGTCCTCCAGTAGTGAGATTTTCCATCCGGTGTTCTGGTGCCTCATGGCACACTGCTGTCCCTATTTATAGAGTAAAATATATGGAACGTGGGAGATTCCTCGAAGAGTTGGAGCAGTTGGGTGGTGCCCAATGTTGCCTCATGGCACTCTTCTGTCCCTATTTATAGAGTAAAATATATGGAACGTGGGAGATTCCTCGAAGAGTTGGAGCAGTTGGGCGGAGCTGGGAATCCAGGTGCAGAGATTCACTATTGGAGTCCTGGGGTGATGGGAAAACCTGGTAGGCAATCCAGCCCTCGGGAGTGAAATGTCAGTGTTGGAGGTTGTGGTCTCCTAAAGGGTGATTCACCTGCTGCTTCCCATTAAATTTTAGGTCCTCCAGTAGTGAGATTTCCATTCGGTGTTCTGGTGCCTCAATGGTGCACATGGCACACTGCTGTCCCTATTTATAGAGTAAAATATATGGAACATGGGAGATTCCTCGAAGAGTTGAAGAGTTGGAGCAGTTGGGCGGAGCTGGGAATCCAGATGCAGAGATCTCACTATTGGAGTCCTGGGGTGATGGGAAAACCTGGTAGGCAATCCAGTCCTCGGGAGTGAAATGTCAGTGTTGGAGGTTGTGGTCTCCTAAAGGGTGATTCACCTGCTGCTTCCCATTACATTTTAGGTCCTCCAGTAGTGAGATGTTCCATCTGGTGTTCTGGTGCCCAATGGTGCCTCATGGCACACTGCTGTCCCTATTTATAGAGTAAAATATCTGGAACATGGGAGATTCCTCGAAGAGTTGGAGCAGTTGGGCGGAGCTGGGAATCCAGGTGCAGAGATCTCACTATTGGAGTCCTAGGGTGATGGGAATAGCTGGTAATCAATCCATCCTTCGGGAGTGAAATGTCAGTGTTGGAGGTCGTGGCCTCCTAAAGGGTGATTCACCTGCTGCTTCCCTTCAAATTTTAGGTCCTCCAGTAGTGAGATTTTCCATCTGGTGTTCTGGTGCCCAATGGTGCCTCATGGCACACTGCTGTCCCTATTTATAGCGTAAAATATATGGAACATGGGAGATTCCTCGAAGAGTTGGAGCAGTTGGGCGGAGCTGGGAACCCAGGTACAGAGATCTCACTATTGGAGTCCCAGGGTGATGGGAATAGCTG